CATAAAACGGATCCGCATTCCTCAGCTCAAAGAGCACCTCGCGCGCAACCGTGTACGAGCACTCCACACGTAAAACCGCCCTAACACGACTCATCAGCGCATGAGGTCTCACGTCGCCATGCTTTAGCATCTCACGCGCAACCTCTTTGACTTCATCCCTCCGAATCCTTGCAGCTTCAGTGACACACCTATCGGCGTGATCCAAATCAGCCACCGTGACCCGCAGGCTACTATAGCGCGGTCCCCGCATGACAACACGGAATGGACACATCCCTTCTCCGATGTGCACCTCCCCACGAGGCCATACCTTGCCCTCCATGGACTTGAACCACACCTCAATGAGATTCGACCGATTATAGCGGAAATAGGGAGCAAACGTCTGCTGCCTATAGTACAACCGCACCTCCTCCCTTGCTGCTACAGCAGTTGGGTAGAGCTTCCCCTTGTAAATGTTGACAGCATCATCTTCCTGCACATCAAAATTGCTACAGGACCAAAAGATAACGGATGGAGGGATACCACACGGAAGTTTGCAACTTATCTTATACAACTCTTGTTTGGAAATGAACGATGGCTGATGTTAACAATGCACTTTAGCTAGTTTGGACAATAAGACCATGCAGATTCAACATGTGTATTCAACCTCAGCCTCTCACCTTGAACGTATGAGGCGAAACATGTTGTTCCTCACGACCGCCTCAAGCTCTGTTGGACAATAAGACCATGCGGATATAAGGTGTAGTATTCTGCATAAGAGAGAATGGAAGGGGGAAAATTGAGAGCCTTTCAAGAGTTAGGGGACAAGAAAGAATGTCACACAGACAAGAGAGTGTATGAGAGCGTATGAGAGGGGATGAGAGGGGATGAGAGGGGATGAGAGGGAAAGAGAGGGAATGAGAGGGAATGAGAGGGAATGAGAGTGAATGAGAGGGGATGAGAGGGAACGGGAGTATGTGTATGGGGATGAGAGGGGATGAGTGTGTATGAGAGGGGATGAGAGTGTATGAGAGGGGCTGAGAAGGGATAAGAGGGGATGAGTGTGAATGATGGAAGTGTATGAGAGTGGATGAGAGCGGATTAGGGGGTATGAGTGTGTATGAGAGGGGATGAGAGTGTTTAAGAGTGTCTGATAGTGCATGAGAGACGATGAGAGGAGTTGAGAGTGTATGAGAGTGGATGAGGAGGATTGAGAGTGTGTAAGAGAGTGTATGAGAGTGTATGAGAGGGGATGAGAGGGGATGAGAGGGGATGACCAGGGATGAGAGTGCACGAGAGTGAAAGGGAGTGTATGAGAGTGTATGAGAGTGTATGGGAGTGTATAAGAGGGGATGAGAGTGCATATGATAGTGTATGAGTGGGTATGAGTGGGTACGAGAGTGTATGAGAGTGTATGAGAGGGAATGAGATGGGATGAGAGGGGATGAGAGGGGATGAGAGTGAATGAGAGTGTATGATAAGGGATGATGAGAGTGTATGAGAGTTTAGGAGAGTGGATGAGAGTGGTTGAGAGTGTATGAGAGTGTATGTGAGGGGATGAGAGTGTATGAGTGTTAGAGACTAAGGACGGAGTCTAGGAAGATTAGGTGCCCAAATTTCTCAAAATCGTTGGTCTCAATTTCTGGACAGAAACGTCGACTTCACAAGAAACGTTGTCGACAAAAGGTGCACTGTTAGAATCCCACGAAATTCAAATATGTTGTAGCCCTAGACCGTGGCTACATTTCCCAATTTGAATCGTATCAAAATATGAAGCATATCTTGAGGTATGCTTTTCGGCGCACTAGGGGGTATGCTGCCACAGAAATTTAACTCAATCACAATTAACTCACAAGTCCCACAAAAGAACATTAGAGTAACACTAAACCTGGTAGGAGGGGAAGAGGAGGACGAGAGGGAAGGTCCCAAGAGAGAGTCCCCAACCAAGGAAACCCCATGCCACACAATTCCCTTCCCCATAGGCAACAAACTTTGACCTTTGTCACTTTCCAACCCATGCCATCCACCTCACCACAACTTGGCCACACTTACCAACCTGGTTTTGCTTCACCCAACCTCTTGGCAGCATCTACAGTGATGGGTTCGAATTTCCCAACCCCCACAAGTCTGTACCCCATATTGAGTCAATGCCACAACTTCCCAAAGTAGCTGCAACCAAAATATATAAGCATACGAACTCCAATGTTCGTAACTTTCTTGGTTGTGCTCCGATCGCGACGATTCGTGGTTCGTCGGAAAGCTCTTGAGTAGAGAAATCACTTCAGATATCTGCTCAAGCCAAATAACATACACACACACACACACACACACACACAGAAAATCCAAACCACACAAGACACAAATTTCTTGCACACGCTCACACCACGCATGCAACGCACAAACACATGATGGGAGGCAGACAGACGTGAATGCATATGGTTGCATCACACAACAATGAGAGTGTATGAGAGTGAACGAGAGGGGATGTAAAGGGATGAGAGGGGATGAGAGTGTTTAAGAGTGTCTGATAGTGCATGAGAGAGGATGAGAGGAGTTGAGAGTGTATGAGAGTGGATGAGGAGGGTTGAGAGTGTGTAAGAGAGTGTATGAGAGTGTGTGAGAGTGTATGAGTGGGGATGAGAGGGGGTGAGAGGGGATGAGAGGCTATGAGAGGGGATGTGAGGGGATGAGAGGGGATGAGTGCTCATGAGACTGTATCAGAGTGTATGAGTGTGTATGGGAGTGTATATGAGGGGATGAGAGTGTATATGAGTGTATATGAGTGGGTACGAGAGGGTATGAGAGTGTATGAGAGGGAATGAGATGGGATGAGAGGGGATGAGAGGGGATGAGAGTGAATGAGAGTGTATGGAAGTGTATGAGAGTGGATGAGAGCGGATTAGGGGGTATGAGTGTGTATGAGAGAGGATGAGAGTGTTTAAGAGTGTATGATAGTGCATGAGAGAGGATGAGAGGAGTTGAGAGTGTATGAGAGTGGATGAGGAGGGTTGAGAGCGTGTAAGAGTGTGTATGAGAGTGTGTGAGAGTGTATGAGATGGGATGAGAGGGGATGAGAGGGGATGAGAGGGGATGAGAGGGGATGACCAGGGATGAGAGTGCACGAGAGTGAAAGGGAGTGTATGAGAGTGTATGAGTGTGTATGGGAGTGTATAGGAGGGGATGAGAGTGTATATGATAGTGTATGAGTGGGTATGAGTGGGTACGAGAGGGTATGAGAGTGTATGAGAGGGAATGACATGGGATGAGAGGGGATGAGAGCGTATGAGTGTGTATGAGTGTGTATGGGAGTGTATAAGAGGGGATGAGAGTGTATATGAGTGTATATGAGTGGGTACAAGAGGGTATGAGAGTATATGAGAGGGAATGAGATGGGATGAGAGGGGATGAGAGGGGATGAGAGTGAATGAGAGTGTATGGAAGTGTATGGGAGAGGATGAGAGCAGATTAGGGGGTATGAGTGTGTATGAGAGGGGATGAGAGTGTTTAAGAGTGTCTGATAGTGCATGAGAGAGGATGAGAGGAGTTGAGAGTGTATGAGAGTGGATGAGGAGGGTTGAGAGTGTGTAAGAGAGTGTATGAGAGTGTGTGAGAGTGTGTGAGATGGGATGATAGGGGATGAGAGGGGATGAGAGGGGATGATAGGGGATGACCAGGGATGAGAGTGCACGAGAGTGAAAGGGAGTGTATGAGAGTGTATGAGTGTGTATGGGAGTGTATAAGAGGGGATGAGAGTGTATATGATAGTGTATGAGTGGGTATGAGTGGGTACGAGAGTGTATGAGAGTGTATGAGAGGGAATGAGATGGGAATGAGAGGGGATGAGAGGGGATGAGAGTGAATGAGAGTGTATGATAAGGGATGATGAGAGTGTATGAGAGTTTAGGAGAGTGGATGAGAGTGGTTGAGAGTGTAGGAGAGTGTATGTGAGGGGATGAGAGTGTAAGAGAGTGTATGAGAGTGAACGAGAGGGGATGTGAAGGGATGAGAGGGGATGAGAGTATATGAGAGGGGATGAGAGTATATGAGAGGGGATGAGAGTGTGTGAGATAGGATGAGAACGGATGATAGGAAATGAGTGTGTATGAGAGTGAATGGGTGTGTATGAGGGGATGGGAGTGTATGAGAGTGAGTGTAGGAGATTGAATGAGTGTGGTTGAGAGTGTATGAGAGTGTATGAGAGAGGATGAGAGTGTATGAGAGTATATGAGAAGGGATGAGAGTGTATGAGTGTGTACGGGAGAGTATGACGGGATGATAGTGTATATGATAGTGGATGGGAGGGTATGAGAGTGTACGAGAGTGTATGAGAGGGGATGAGTGTGTATGAGAGGGGATGAGAGTGTATGAGAGGGGGTGTGAGGGATAAGAGGGGATGAGTGTGAATGAGAGTGTATGGAAGTGTATGAGAGTGGATGAGAGCGGATTAGGGGGTATGAGGTTGTATGAGAGGGGATGAGAGTGTATCAGACAGTGGATGAGAGGGGATGAGAGTATATCAGACAGTGGATGAGAGGGGATGAGAGTGAATAAGGGTGTATGTGAGTGTATGAGAGAGGATGAGGGGTTGAGAGTGTATGCGAGTGGATGAGGAGTGATGAGAGTGTTTAAGAGAGTGTATGAGAGTGTGTGAGAGTGTATGAGAGGGGATGAGAGGGGATGAGAGGGGATGAGAGGGGATGTGAGGGGATGAGTGTGAATGAGAGTGTATGAGAGTGTATGAGTGTGTATGGGAGTGTATAAGAGGGGATGAGAGTGTATATGAGTGTATATGAGAGTGGGTACGAGAGAGTATGAGAGTGTATGAGAGGGAATGACATGGGATGAGAGGGGATGAGAGCGTATGAGAGTGAATGAGAGTGTATGGGAGTGTATAAGAGGGGATGAGAGTGTATATGAGTGTATATGAGTGGGTACGAGAGGGTATGAGAGTGTATGAGAGGGAATGACATGGGATGAGAGAGGATGAGAGGGGATGAGAGTGAATGAGAGTGTATGATAAGGAATTATGAGAGAGTATGAGAGATTAGGAGAGTGGATGAGAGTGGTTGAGAGTGTATGAGAGTGAATGAGAGGGGATGAGAAGGGATGAGAGTGTATGAGAGTGTATGAGAGTGAATGAGAGGGGATGAGAAGGGATGAGAGGGAAAGAGAGGGAATGAGAGGGAATGAGAGAGAATGAGAGGGAATGAGAGTGAATGAGAGGGGATGAGAGGGAACGGGAGTGTGTGTGAGGGGATGAGAGGGGATGAGTGTGTACGAGAGGGGGTGAGCGAGAGGGATGGAGAGGCGATGAGTGTGTATGAGAGGGGGTGTGCGAGAGGGATGGAGAGAAGACTCAACGTAACTAGAGGGGACTAGAGAGCAGTCAAGCACGAGATAGCATAAAAGAAAAGCCTGGCACGAGAGAGGGAATTGACGTAATCGAGGCTTTGGCCGGGGATGACACGGCATGCGAGGGAGTGAGGAAAGATGGGTAGGAGACAAGAGAGCACGAGAGGGGAGGCTAGCAGACGAGAGTGCATGGGCACCCTGGCCTCGGCGGTAGCCAGAGAGGCGCGACTCGCTGAGCGGCGGGTTAGCGCATCACGGTGGCGGATCGTCGCAATGCGCCCGGCAGGGTGGCCGCATTGCGCATTGCGACGGCGGCGGCCTGGTAGGCGCGATGCGCGGAGCGGCCAAAAGCAGGACGCAATGCGCATCACGGCGGCGGCGGCCCGGTCGGCGCGATGCGCTTTGCGGCCCGAAGGTGGCCGCAATGCGCATCGCGGCGGCGGCTGCTCCTGATCGTCGCGATGCATCTCGCGACGATCGGGCCCGATGCATCGGGCGATGCGCTGTTTGGCACGCCGGTTTGTGGGCGCATTGCGACAGCGGTCTGATCGACTTTATTCATTCATATTATTAGTAATTTTCGAGTAACAAGGGACTAAACGTGAATGGATGGGAAAGGCTTTAGGGCTAAGGCACGCACCGTTGATAGACGTCAGGTGCTGCTAACGAACGCCTTGGATGCATGAACGGGAAGCCAGCTGGCGAAAGCTATAGCTACTAGTAATAGCGTGAGGAATAGCTGATGGCGGGAAGTAAGTTGGAGAGCTGCGATGGGGTCAAGGTTCTGTACTTGGTTGGAACCGTAGCGGGCAGGGGGGTGTACAGCACGTCGGGTCGTGGTGTGGTCATGAAGTATGCCTATGAGGCACGGGCGATCAACGAGTTTGGCAGGTGAGGAGTGGGTTTTAACCAGTATGCTGAGGGTGACACTGCATGCAGTGGAATGGCATCCCGGACGGCTGGGTCTGGCTGCACTACCTCTCGCCCATGAAGTATGCTTATGAAGGGCTGACGATCAACCAAGTTTGGCAGGTGAGAAATCGGCACCCTTTTGCTGGGGACATGAGTATGGGTGGAATGATGTGGGCATCACTTCTCGCCATCTCCCACTTCTTCACTATCTTTCCCCACCATCTCCCACTCCCCACCATCTTTCCCCACCGTCTCCCACTCCTCAGCACCAATCCCCAATCTCCATTTCTCTCCTGAATCATCACCCCACCAGGCCCGGAGGACCCTGTTACTTGGAAGCTGGCATAATGTTTGATAATACACCCGTGGCGCCGTATTTAAATGCAACCAGAATCAATAAGGCCATGGTGGGGATGCGGCAGGTGCTGGCTGGTACTCCTTATAGCAAAATCACTACAAGCACATGTTTGCGGGACGGGCCTCAGCTGCTAACGACTACAGTGGCTCTGAATCAGCTCGACATGTGGGAGAATGTTGCGGTGCTGCTGGGTTTTGGGGTGTTTGTACGGTTGGTTACGTTTCTGCTTCTGGTGAGGTTCAGTAAAGCTAAGCAGCAGTGAGAGGCTGATGTGTTGATGCTCTCTATGACATTGTAACATTAACATGATTATTTTATCATATGTTTGCGTCCAAGTGGAACATTGGAGCATTCTGCCGGTTGGAATACCAGAATGTGAACAAGCTATTGTAGTATAAGCGAAATTTCATTTTAGTCCCACTTTAACACTGCCACTCAACAAAAAAACACACAAGTGGTTGTCTTGGGTCGACTCTAGAGGACAATAACGAAGCGTCCATAACCGAGTTTCTCAAAAAGTCGACCGAAGACCCCACGTGATCAAACCCCCCGCATCCCCTCCCCCTGCGACCCCCCCCCCACCCCCCCCACCTCCTACTCTTCCCCCCTCCCCTCTAAACCCCACCCCAATTCCCCCCCTCACCCAACGCCCGCATTCCCCTGACATGCTAGCTTCACTCCTCTCCGTGATCCACGCTTGAATCAAATCCGCCCCCACATTTCAGCTGAGTTCATAGCATCACTCTAATAGCCACCACCACGGCCACCACCACGGCCACCACGGCCACCACGGCCACCAGCGCCACCAGGACCATCGCTGTCACCGTCAGGCCCGTTGCCACCACGCCCGCCACGACCGCCACACTTGCCGAAGTTCCCAGTGAGCGCGGCGCTCCAGGAGTTGCCGGTCGTGCTGTCGGTAAAAATGACAGCGTACGGCGAATCAGTCGTGGTGTCGGTGGTCCCGATGAACGTCGCGAACAGCGCCTTGGTCTTCGCGCCCATCCACGCGAGGCGCTGGCGCTGGCGCTTCAGGAACTGCTGCGTCAGCTTCCCCGCGCTGTTCCCCGCGAGCTCGCGCCCGCGGCGGCGTCCGCCGAAGGCGTTCTGGAAGCCCTGCTTCGCGCCGTTGATCACCTTGGTGAACACGTTCTGCGTCACCGTCGCGTTCGGCACGCCCGCGAGAAGCGCCTCGACGACCGTCGCGTCGGCGCCTTCCCACGGTGCCCGTCACGCGCAGCTCCGTGTGCGAGCCGCCGCGCCCGCCGCGCGTCTGTGTGGTCCAGCCGGTGGACGGCAGAGTGAGGGCGGCGGTGGCGGTGGAGTCACACGCCGCGCCTTGCACGATGTTGATCGTGTCGGGCGCGGTTCCGCTGTACTCGTCAAGATCCGCGTCGAAATAGAGGTTGTAGACGGGCGTGCCCGACGACTCGTCCTTAAAGACGGCGAGCAGGAACTTGCCGCGAGTCGCTCCGATGTCCGTCGTGCAGTTAGAGACCCAGGCGCCCACGCGACCTGCGGATGGTACGAAGGGGCGAGGGAGGGGGAAGAAGGGGGGCGGTGGGGGAAGAAGGGGAGGGGGGAGTGGGGGTTCCGGGGAGGGGCGGAAAGAGACCAGCCGCACGTTTGGCATCCAATAGTGAACGGAAATTCCAGAAAAAAATGTATTCGGGATCGCATTGTGACGGGATGAACGAATCTGGCGGACTGAACCGTGCTAGATGGTGCACTCGTCGCACCTGTGAGATTTCCGGTGACGGACGCGTCGATCGGCGGGCCGTGGGGACCCCCTTCAGCCGCGGCCCATCCGCCGCCGAAAACCACCGCCACCCCCGTGACCGAGAACTGCGCAGGCAGCGCAAGAAAAAAACAGAATCAGATGTTGCAAGTTGACGCGTTAAGATCGTAATGACACATTGACACCCGAAGTAACGCGTCTGACATTCAAGGAAAGGGAGCGCAGGCCAACTACTTTAATTCAAACAAGGAAGGCTGGGAAGTCGGCGTCCACTGGACCAATTTAGTAGACGAGTTTTTCTGAGCTACGAGCATACCAGGCGCGACGAGGAGCAGGACGAGGAGAGGGATAAGACCGGCGCGCGTCATCGTGTCTGACGATCGAAGCAAGTTACGCCAAGAACAGTCGATTTTCGAGGGAAGCTACGAGTGCAGGGCGTGTGTAAAAGGATGCTCAAATGCGTTCTGCTGGTGAATGAGGGAATGCGTGCAGGTATTTGTCCAGTAGACTTGAGAGCAATTCTCAGTTGGCGCACACACAGCCAAGGTCGCGCTGCGCAGAGCCTAGGCGGAAGTGTGAGAGGCAGACTGGTCAGACCACTGAACAGTGTGGGTCGCGGTCCGCGGAGACCAACCAACCCCAGGAAAGATTGGGAGGAATTTTCTTTCACAAAGAAGTCGTCGTTTTTCAGCACAGCAGGAACATCGTTCGACATTCAGGCTCTGCCCGAAACAAGAGATTGTTTACGTACCACTCCTTTGAACTGATTGGGACCCTAGTATAAGTGTCAATTTGAATGTACAATCCCCCAGCAATTTTCATCTTCAGGATTTGATGTGTAGATGTCGGGCAGGGAAACATTGACAAAACTACATCAACACAGCGCCGACAGTTTTTGACTGGTCGAGGGAAGGAATACCCCTGGTCATGTGGACAAGACAACCTGGCAACAACTGTCAGCTGACGACGAACGAGCGAACGTCAACGAGTTTCGCGAGTACTCTCGCGCAAGACGATTTCTGCATCACGACAGTAACACTGATGCAGTACGGAAGCATGTCTCGTCTCGGTCTGGTCATCGATTTTCCCTTGTCGTGAGTACTGTACTGAACGTATGTTCAGACGGGATTTCTGTTCATGCTCCAGGTTTGTTGGTTTGATGGCAGATGTTAATGCGCTAATATGCAGCCAGTCAGTGTGCAGCTGGTCATCGCACCTCCTAAGATGGTGATATGCTTTTGTAAGGAAATTCCCTTTTCCTTACTTCGCATCTCTGCTCAACGCGTACATCACGGTAGCACCTCAGTCAGCACCGTTACCACTCACAACCATCGCATCATTCATCATCCCGCCATTTTCGCACATCGCATCCCGACCTCACGGCTCGGCTGGTAACCCGCGCTCCGGGCCTACGCTTCGACACTGTTCCCAACCTCAGTCCCAGGCTCGTCGCGCGACCATTACCGTTACCACTGTAGTTTCGCTATATATTCTTCGCTCATACCTTCGCCCATTGGACTCTTGCTTCGATAGTGCAATTCTCGCTCGTTCACTCAATTGCACTCGTAACACTTGCTATTCAGAGCCTACGATCCCATCTCGGACCGCATCCACACTTTCACTTCCCCACTATCTCAAATTTTGGGGGGGGTAGACGTCTCTCAGCGATATAGCACCGCCGCTCGTAGTGCTCTCTCGCAAGCACGCACGGCCACGACCGAGGCTCTTCGCTGAGCTTGCCTGACACCCCCGCCATGGCCGATTTCACGCTCGCCACATTGACGCAGGAGCAACTTGATCGTCTCGTGCGTCAACTGGAGGATTCGGCGCTTGAAATCGCGACCCTCACGGCGGAACGCGACTTCCGCCCGTCAACAATCCACGATGAACGTACCGACGACATCCCACGCACCAACAAACGCATCTGCATGTTCGGATGAGCCGATCATCATCTCGTCCGGCACACCAACACAACACGACAGCACGGGACAACGCTCAGGCGCAGCCAGTGAGGGCGCCGCCCAGCTGATGCCTGGCATGGGAGGGAAACAGGATCGCACCAAGCCCACGGGAGCCTCGAGAAGTCCGTCGGCACGTGGAATTTGCGGCGACAAGTGGCGAACAACCCAACATGGCACCAATGCCGCTCAAGCCGCAACGCCCCGCCCTGCTTCGACCCAAGTCAACGCGGCGGTCCGACAAGTTCAATCGTGGGTCTTCACGATGAACGTTTTCTTCGACGCCAATTACGTCGAGTCGGACGCCGCAAAGATCCGGTATGCGGTTTCACTGCTAAGAGGCCCCGCCATGGACTTGTGGCGAGTCATCGTGACGTCGCCACGCGCCAACCGAGCAACCGTCGCACGAGGAAGGGCCCTCGGGTCCAGCTGTCACCTGGAGTTCGTTCTGCGAGACCGCCCAATACAGCACGTGGGATGCGTGGTGCCCAGGACTTCGGGCGCGTTTTGAGCCGATCGCGGCTTCAATTTCGGCGCGTCAGAAACTGCGCACTTGGCGCCAGCTCGGGTCAGTTCAAGACTATACCAGCGGTTTTCTCGCACTTTGCGAGCAGGTCGGCTACATGCACGAAGCGGAGCGGGTGGACCGTTACGTCGGAGGGCTGAAGCCGGACATCTCGCACGAGATAATGCTGCGCGGACTCTCTAACTTCAACGAGATTCTCGCGCTCGCCGAGAAGATCGACATTCTACGTCGACCGAGACTGGGGTCCTATTACGGACATCGTCCTCGGGGACCGACCGAGCATGCCACTGTACACGCCGTCGCAACGAATGCAGCTGCCGCACCGTTTAAGGGGCGCTGCTTTGCTTGCAACAGGCCGGGCCATCGCAAGAGCGAATGCCCAGAGGAGCTGAGGCGCCGAGGAGCAGAGCAGGGGAGGGAGTCTCAGAGGCAGGGAAACGCCAGCAGTCAGTAGAAGTTGGGCCAACTACTGACGAGACTGCCTGCTCGCCCAACCACACCGACCCTCACCGAGTCACAGTACCGATTCATGCCATCGATCGGGCTCGGATGAATAAGGAGGGTACAGCGATGGATTGCCCGGTACTAATCTACGGGAAAATACAGGGAGCAGCAGTGAAGATTTTTATTGACGGAGGAGCAAGTCACAGCTAAGTTAATACCGCAACCGCACGGAAATTACAGTTAACACTTAACCGATGCTTACCTGAGATAGATGCACGCTTAGTCGACGGCACGCCGCTGGCTATACGGGAAAAGGTGGAGAGAGTAAAGGTCCGCTGCGGAGGGAACTTCGGGTTTACACAGGAAATGCTCGCAACGACACTGGATGGGCACGACATTTTATTGGGACGTGATTGGCTGCGACGGTATAACCCACGAATTGACTGGACGACGGGTAGCTGCACAGTGCGAAGTAGTGGTAACTGGGTCGTCCTACCTCGCTAGCAGCCACCCGAGTCTTCGACGGTCCAGGTCAACGCCATCACGATGAAACGGGCTGTCGCTGCTGGAGCTGACGTGTACGCAGTGGATATCGCATTAGTGGAAAAAGAGGACCGGCCGAGTGATTTGCAGAAACTGTTGGCAGCCGTACCACCCGAACTACAGGCACTACTGAAACGGTTCCCGGGTATCTTTCCGGATGACTTACCGCAAGGGCTGCCACCTCAGCGGGCGCATGACCATAGGATCGAGTTAGAACCGGGGGCACAGCCAACTGTACAGCGCCAATTTCGACTGACACAGCCCGAGCTCGACGAGCTAAGGAAGCAGTTAGATTACCTGTTAGAGAAGCAGTTTATCCGACCGAGCTCGTCACCGTTCGCCGCACCGATACTGTTCACACCGAAAAAAGACGGGGGGTTTCGCATGTGCATCGACTACCGAGCGCTTAACAGGATAACAGTAAAATCACGATACCCCATCCCCCGCGCCGACGAACTGATCGACCAGCTGCGAACCGCACGATTATTTTCGAAAATAGACTTACGGGGAGGTTACCATCAAATTCGGGTCGAACCATCGGACTGCGCCAAGACAGCATTTAGGACTAGGTACGGGTCATTCGAGTACACGGTGATGCCTTTCGGGCTGACCAACGCGCCTGCAACATTTCAGATGACCATGAACGAGGCGTTTAGGCCACTTTTAGATAAATGCGTTATAGTTTACCTCGACGACATCCTCGTTTACAGTCGGGACCAGCAGCAGCACTTAGTAGATCTCGAAGCAGTTTTTAATATTTAGAGGCACATCGGTTACTCACCAAGGGCTCCAAGTGCGAGTTTTTTCGGGACAGGCTAGAGTTTTTAGGTCACGTCATTTCGGAGGCTGGGGTTGAGATAGACCCTAAGAAGCTGGATACCGTAAAAGCGTGGCATCCCCGACGAACATCACGGAACTACAGAGTTTTTTAGGGTTTGTTAATTACGTTCGTCGGTTCGTCCCGACATGGCACGCTTAACAGCCCCGCTCACTGATTTACTGCGTAAGGGGGTCCCTTTTACGTGGGGGGAGAAAGAGCATGCTGCCTTCTCTGCCCTGAAAAATGTTCTCTGTTCACCACCCGTCCTACGCATCGCTGACCCACACCGCCCCTTCGAAGTTGTTACAGACGCGAGTGACATCGCCATCGGAGCCGTACTGTTACAGGACTTCGGCAACGGCCTCCAACCCATCGCCTACGAATCACGCAAGCAACATCCACCTGAGCGAAATTACCCGATACACGACCGCGAAATGCTCGCGATCGTGCATGCATTCAAAGTGTGGCGTTGCTACTTGACCGGCGCAGACGTGACAGTACGGACAGACCATCGATCCCTACAGTACCTTCTCGCACAGCCCACCTCAACCCACGACAGATTCGGTGGCTCGACTTCCTCGAATCGAATTTCCACTATACGGTC